GTGAATTTGACTGCGACAATGTTTCAAAATTAGGAAGGGAAGCAGTGATTATTTGATTATATAGACGCTTCGCCTCTACTCTGAGTAGATTTACTATTTCCTTTTCCAGTCGGAAGTCTTAATATGTATTATAGGTTTGGGTCGGAACGCCTTTCAACACAGTGTCGCTTCTCCCGTCACAGAACCTCAGATGTTAATGTCCATTTCCAATATAACCACCAAAGCAAGTGGGGGGGAGAGTGATGAAAAATGTCCTTTTTTATTTTTAGTTTAAGTTTTACGGCACTTGCAACACTATAAGGTCATTTAAATGCCAAAGATTAGAGGTGTTACAAGAGAGTAACAAACACAAAAAAGAAGGAGGGGGGATAAAGACAATAGATCTTTGATGAGAAAGAAGAAGCAAACCACACCAGAGCACCCGCCAACTACCCACGAAAAGTCTCCAGACAAGCAATGTTGAAAAACAGCCATGGAGGTTCGAACCAAGGTCACAACTTTGGACATTAAAATGCGCCAACTTGGCAGATACTGCACTCACCTCACTGCTTCTATCATTGTGTAGGATTTAGAATACATGTATTCCAAATTGGGCGGTCTCTTCGGCTTCGATTAATATCAAAATTAATATTAGGCGTTGTTTGTATAGTATAGTATAAGGTTTTACGGCGCTCGCAACTGCTAAGGTCATATGAGCGCGCAGGCGTTGTTTGTGACTGTCAATTTTATGTGTATTATTTTAACTATTTTTTTTGCCATAACAAATGAGCTAATCACTAGGGTGAACTAATGGTTGAGGCTGTGTTCGAACTATGTTATTGTTAGTGAAGAATATAGGTAATTGAAAGTCACAATTAGCACGGGGGAGGGGACGGAAGAGCTAATTGTCAGATGAAACAGATGGGCTTTAGAGTTTAAGGGAATACGGAGGCCAGAGTAATTAAGCGTGCCATCAGAACCTGCTGTTGCTTATTTTAGTCGTTTTTGAGGTTGTTGTTGTTGATGATGATGATGTTGTTGTTTATGTTGTGTGTACGTTTTTATTTGTTCTGTTTACCGTTTGAGTTGTTTTTGGGGGGTTTTTT